ACAGGATCCGCCTCTGGACACTAGTCTTGTCCATGACAAAAAGGCAGGGGAGACAAAAACTACCAAAAAAATCCCTTAAACGAGCCCTAGGTGGACTTAGCGGGCCGTCGAAGCCGAAGCCCGACCCTAACCACCGGAACAGGGAAAAAAAAAAAAAAAATAAAATAAAATAAAAGACTAGAGCTCGATTCCCACTAGTGGCGATATATTGAGTCGTTCTCACAAACGCATAAAGCCGGATACTTGTACTCAAATATTTTGCCTAAAACCCAAGCGAAGAGCATATCACTACACTTTGATCTTAGCCAAAAGGCCGAGAAGCGATGCCCGCGTCAGAGTCAGTTTGGGACCTCATATAAATTTGTACCTTTCCGCGATGGTCTCGACACAGTCGATCTTTAAAAAAAAAGAAAAAAAAAAAGGAAAATAAGGACATAGAAAAAAGATCTTCTCTGTGAACAGCGTTCGTTCGTTCTTTCTTTCTTTCTTTTGCACTCAGGCTACGCAAATGCCAGTGCAACCCATTTCGATACATTTAGCAGAGCATTACGTTCTATTAATATTCTGGTTTGCACAAGCAGTGTGAGACGTAGGGCAAACGTCGATTTTCAGCCGAGCTGTGAGGCACACGCCAATTTCCCACTTCTAGAAGGTGTACGGCATATGCTAGTAGCAAGCTGGCATGGTAGTAAGGGGGAATTCTTTTCATTTGTATTATGAGGCTGGGCCACGCCTGAAAGTACTGCAATACCAAGGCAACCCGTGATGAGGGCGGAGCAAGCTCCGGGCACCTCATCTAGGTCCAAAAATCAGTTTAATATCGAAGTACCCCGATGGGGTACGTATCAGATATTAAGCTGATAAGAACAGATACTTTTTTTTTTTTTTTTTTTTTTTGATAAAATTTATTAAAACAGTAAAATCATATATACATAGAAATATACAATAAAAACACGCGACGACTGGAACTTACTGCACCTGAAAAATATAAAAACAAGAATATACAATAAATTTCGAAATTTTTAATAGCAAACCACTTTCTGTGCAACTGATTGCGCTTCCAATTCCGAGACCAAACACTTCGGCCCATTTACAGGTCTGCACAAGGGAATTGAAAGCGCAAGCAGGTGCACAGTTTCTTTTGCTAGAACCCAAATTTACAAATATCAATATGAAATTCAAACCTATACAAGGAATAAATATATAGGGGAAATAAATAAATAAATAAATTGAGAAGAAATTTATAGAGGTAAGTATATAAATTCACAAAAATTAATTATGAGGTAAGTTAATATAT